ACAGGATAGTTCTAGAAAATGACTACTGTGACGCCACGGTGACTCGCTGACGCAACAATATAAACAATACTATTTAAACATATTATATTTATATCTGATGCTTGACACATACTTTGAAAAAAAAAGTTGTTTGTTGGTTTTTTAGCGCAATGAACTATATACCGCTAGAAACTGAACCCCGGATTTTGGCATTGTACTTCCATACACTTACCGCTCACCCATCAAAATATATTCGAAAAAAAGTAAACTTAATGCTTAATAACATACCGTTTTCAATATAGATTACAAAGAAGTCTAAGATTGACTATTCTTTAGAGGTTTTCCTAGTTTGCAGTTCATTATAAATTGTGCACCTGTAAAAAATATTGTGCAGTTGAAAATTCACCTATATAAGTAAGTTCAAGTGGATAAATATCTTTACAAAACACATATAATATTATAAAATTCCATTCCAGAGTTGATAAATAAATGTATTTACAAAAGTTATCCTTCATTTTTTCTAATCATTTGTTACCAGGGCTGTATATATGAGGTGTGATAAGGCGTCATGTATTAAAGCAGGATGGAGTTAAAATATAATTGTGCAGTTGAAAAAATCCTTAGGAAAAGCTCTGGTTTTCTCAAGTAAAACTGATTTTCGCACAGTAACAGATAAGTTCGCTTTAACAGCAAGATCGATCAGTAAATCTAAGGAGTAATGTGTGTATGAAAACTTAAAGAAAATTTAATCTTGTGAGAGAAAATAAAAAGACTGGACAAATTTGATAGAAAATAGACACAATCTTGCCAATTACAAACAAAATTAAAATGCAACATGCATACTTGTCCAAACAAGTGAACAGTCGTTTCTACAGGATCGTTGTCTAACTCAGAATCTCTGTTTCTTTCAACAAAAAACAGGTAGTGATGCAGTCTTGGAAGAAAGCTTGTATGTTTTTGTTTTTTGCGAGAACGTCACCTTATGTCTATTGTTCTCTAACATAATTTACTAGCTGTAATATACAAACTTCGTCCACTCCACCAGCAAAGGACATTGCATATATAGACCCCTATAACACTTAATTGAAGTATACTGCAACACCCCCACCCCCACCCCCCTCTTGGGTAAAGTAAATATCGTTTACTATAGAGAACAAAGACACGAAGCAAATAAAATAAGGCAGACTTCAATGGTTTACTGGACCATATGTCTATGCTAAAACCGTGTAGAAACTATACAAACGAAAATTAAAAAAAAATCGACATTACTACAACCAAGTGCAAAACATATGGTAAGCAGTACTCATTACATTTTTATAAATCCTCTTTTTCAGGCTCGTTCTCAAGCCGACAATTTAAATTAGACTTAAAACCAACAATCTTTATACTCACTCCATGGTCATCGAGCACATTAACTTTCATTTGCTCCTAAAAATACGTACATGTCACATGGATGATACAGCCCTTTAACAATGAGTCATAACTTTCTACAACAATTTAAAGATACCATACTATAAAAAAAAAAACTCTTCAACTATGTTTTAAGATCAAGCTATTACTTGAAATAAAACTTTTCCAATTAGAATTTTAAAGTTACAAAACAAGACGTAAAATACAAACATTTGCTAAAACTAGGGCCAATTAGACGGGGTGGGGAGAAGAGGGCCATTTGGCCCGGACCTTAAGCTGAAAGAAACCCGTAGTTCAGATACTTGTTATTTTTTTGCATTTTTTAAGTTTCGCAATTTGGTTTTGTGCACAGAAAAAGGCTAGAAAAGTGTTTATTAAATGTTAAATAATGTTAATAAGTATATGTTGAATAAAAAATATTCAGATTATGTTTCACTTTTCTTTTGGGCTAATGATTGTCTTATTTTGTTTTCATATATCATCATTTATTTTATTATAGCCAGGGACTTCAAAAGATAGAAATGGCAGGAGGGTAAGGTATACAAACCCTGCTTAAGTTGTTATGGTATTTTTGTAGTATTAAAAATTATGTTTTCTTCTGTTAAGCATATTTTAAACAGAATTTTGCAGGACCTTAAGATTTTGCAGAATTTAAAGATTTTAGAGAGACTTTGGTAAAGTTGGTAACTATGTAGTTTTTACCTTCCTGGGATGAGGTAGTACTCATTTTGAAGGGTGTCAGAGAGATATGTACGAGTTAGTATGAGTTGGTGTTTAACTCTCTTGAATTTGTGTGATGGAAATTATAATTGATGTAGGTGATTTAAGGATAGTGGGATACCACACAAGTGACATTAGAACCTTAGTCTGATTATTCTTGATCTCATCTTTGTCTTGTGCAGATGCTTTGCTTCAAACCTGCTCTCTTGTCTCAAGTAGCTAGTTAAAGTTCTTGCAATGAACATTATTGTTTTATTCTATACTTGTGGTTGTTTGTTTTCCTCTGCTGTCTACGTTCATTTTGTTCTCTACAAAACATTTCCGATCCTGTTATATTAGACAATACAATTTTTATTTAGGATATCAGTGTACCTGAATATCACACATCGAACGTTTTTTTTAATGAGCGAAAACGATAAAGCTCTCACCAAACAAAGGTTATAGTAAAGTTTAATTAAAAAGGGGACATTTTAACCTAAATATGTTTTATTATAATCTATTAAACTTTGTTACATCTGATGTGATGAAACAATTTAATAAACAGGTATAGTTAAATTAACAAATGTAAATAACGCACAGTTTTTTCTTGAAGCCTTCCTGTGGCTCAGCGGTAAGTCTGCAGCCTTACGACACTGAAATTCGGGTTTTGATACCCGTAGTAAGCAAAGAACAGATAGCTCACTGTGTTGTTAACGTTTTGTGCTTATCCACTATAAAACCGAAACTAAACTTTTCTTGAACTTTTCCTCGGTAGGACAGCGGTAAGTCTATGGACTTCAACGCTAAAATCCAGAGTTCGATTCCTTGAGGTAGACACAGAAGCTAGCTCAATGTGACTTTGCTCTAATATAAACAAATAAACTCTAGAACTTTTTTAGAAACGATAATAATTGTGCTACTGTTTAATTATCAAGTCCAACAAATCCCTTTCTACAGATAAATGCTTCGGACGATTGCTAAACGTACTTTAAGACATGAAATCGCCCATAATAACTTTAATGGATGATTATCAAATACTATTTTACATTTTACATATTAAAAATTAACAAGAAGCTTTGACTTTACTAATTAATTTAGTTGTTCTTTGATAGATGGTTTAGGCAGAGTATTTATGAATCATGATGAAACTAAGTTGAATGGATGGCAGTTACCGTTCATTCATCGTAGTTTCATAATTCAGTTGTTTATACTATTCTTTTATTAATTAATATATTTTTAGAGGACGCTGTGACTATATGGACAACATGGCAAAATGGCTGTGGTTGAGTAAGGAAAGTTGTCAGGGAAGTTTAAATGTAATTTTGTGCGTACTTGAAAGGAAAACTTTTTGTGACATATTGTAGTAGTTGTTTTTGTGCAATTAATAGACATGTCATTAAAAAATATTCAAGATATTTTACCACATGGCTCATCAAGCCTTTGCTTTAGGAAGGAAGAATTTATTAAGGTAAGTTTACTGCTACTTCTACTACGTTACTCTGTACACAGTGCAGGTGTTGGTTGGTATGCTATTAGTATTACTATTAATTAGGATAGTTTAGCAAATAGAATTGTTAATAATGCAATGAAGGTATTATTAATATTGTAAGTACGTTTAAGTTGAGAAAGGATAAAACAAAATGAACATGGTGTTTGACCATACTGATAACATTTAGTTTACTTTTATTTTTAACTAATTTCATTTGTTTTGAAAATTGAAGTAATGAAATAAATTTGTAAAATAAAGGATACTGTTTTGTTAGAGCTTTAGATTCTTTTTGTGAATTAAGAAAATATAGCATAAAACAATTTTTTTAAAAAGAGTTGTGGAAACGACCATTAAAAAGTAATGTCAGTTGTCATGAAGGTCTCATTTGTCTCAATAATCGTGTGAAAGAGCAACCCCAATTTTTAATTTTTATATTTAAAGTTCTGGAGTACCCACTAATTAAGTTCTCACTTTATAAATTTGATATTTGCCATTACTGAGATTGTTATTCTAATATGCACTATGAAAATAACATATTCTTTGTCTTTGTAATTATATCCTATATAGTATATTCTTTATACAGCATCCTCAGTATAGTGTCTAATAAGCAAAATCTCCTATCCTGAGTGTTCTCATGATAACATTTCAGTGTATCTTATTGAAAATCCTTTTGTAATATACTGCATTGGAAATAATATATGTTGAGCAAAATAAAATGTGAAAAGAAAAAATTCTATGGGAATGTTACCCCTTTATGATTTGAAAATGAATTTGACCAGAATACAGTTACATGTTGATAGCTTGCACCATGATTGGCTGTTATTACAACCTGTCAGAAAGTGCCACACCAGTATAAAGACTATAAAAACGTAGGAAGTCATACTGTTCTTATTAGTAGTAGTAGTGCATTCTATCTTCAAGGGCTTAAATACTGCATGATAAGCATATAGAAATCAAAGTTTCAACTAGTGCATATTTCACTAGGAACTGTATACAAGACTGAAGTCGTTATACAAACAAAACTTTCCAAAAGTAATACAGATGTGAATGTTACTATTAAGAAATTCACCATTTACTTCCCATTAACTCATCATTTTTGACTCGTGTATGTGTATGTTCTTTTCTTATCACCAGTTAATCACACTTGATGTAGAGTTACTTCCACTGTTTAAGCTGTAGTTGATCCACATCCTTCATAGAGTACCATATCAACACGTGTACTGGTTCTAAAGAAACTACACATGGTTGACTTCATAAGTTCAAATGCATTGAAAATGGTGCATTATTTTGTGCTCAATTGCAACCATCAGTCAGAGTGAGAAACTTGTATATTTTTTAGATTCCCCAAAGGAGAAAAAGAAGGAAGAGATGGATTGGGCTAATATGGTAAAATTTCACCTGCAGATTTATGCTTATATCCAAACTTTACCAATGTAAATGAGTCACAAAACCATATCTATCACATTTACCAAAGTCACGACAGACCAAACTAAAGCAATAAAAGGTTTCATACATTTAGCTGTATACTGAACTTTTCTCAATATGAAGTAGGGTTATTTCATTCAGATTATTAATAAATCTTCTTTTTCTGGACAATGAATACAATATTTATTAGTTTGGCCTAAAAGTATATTCCCTTTACTGACCATAACATTATATGTCTTGTTCTTCATATTTGCATACACAGAGTCTTTTAGAACACCTGCATACTGAAAACTCTCCATATGTCCCGACTGGTAGTGATTTTCTTCTCTCTTGATTGACTTTGATTCAGAATCAAAATAAATGGCATTTACTGATATGCTTATCGCACCCATCTGCTTCACCAGTACATGAAAGAACATGTGACGTTTGTTTAGAACCAGTGGCAAATGTGTGACACAAAAATGATGTCATTGCCTTGGCACTCTATTACAGTGGCTCTTGTCACTTCAAATGTAATTACCTGAACTTGTAGAAATAATAGATAGAATTATATACTAGAAATAAAGTTGATGATTTCAAATTTTACATAGAACATCATGACTTTTCATACACCATTACTGCTTGGAGGAAAAAAGAACATTTGTTAACACGTTAACTGCTGCAATGCTTAGCATCATCTATGGCAAGTGCTGATAGGAGTTTTTGTGCAATATCTTTGTGTTTTCAGTTTAAACAATGGTAATAATAATAATAACAAATCTAAAACATATAATCTTTACATTTTTTGATTTATGACGCAAATGTGCATCGTGAGCACATGTGAACTAGTGCTAAATGGTCATATGTGCACTCTCAGCAATCGATGTGTGTATAAGCTTTATCTTGCCATGTCCTACATTTTTTATGTATTAGGGAGGAAGTTTATTGTAATTTATGTTAATTTAACATATTTAAAAAAAAAGTCAAATAAACACAACAACTTAATAGTACAATGACATCATCTTTATTAGTATTACTACTGTAGAGAAACTATTTTGAAGATGACTCTCCCAGTTTGCAAAGGTCCAGCATTTGTACTTAGATGTTAAAGCAAAGATCTCAGTAAAAGTCATTGGTTTATTTATTAATGTGTGTGTGAATTACATAATACGAAATTCAAAAATTAAGTCCATATAAAGTTTGTTTTATCTAATATGAAATTATTAGCAAGTTAAGTTTCAGAAGGTTAATGGTCTGTACCCTTAAAATGTTGATGATTCTGTAGATGTTGTACAACCTTAAGTTTTATTTTCTGTCTGTTGCAGGATATGATCATAGAGTAAAAGTGTTTAGATCAGTGGTTCTCAAACTTTTCAGGCTCATGTACCACTTTTTGTTTAAACTTTTTTTTAAAGTACAAACCCAGGCCTAATTAAAACAAATAAACAAAACTCAGTAGCAAGAATTTATATTTTTAACACTTACCTATTAATGGGAAATATGTGACTGTTTTTTCTGGCATAACTGAAATATCTGGTGTGATTTTTGTCAATTTGAAGGGAAGAATACACTGGTAAGTCTATGCATGTGAAGGGCAAGTCTAGAAGTGAAGAGAGCAGTGTGTATATGTACTCGGGAAACTCAAATCGAGCCTATTACAAATTTTATAATATCTACATTAATGTTTTTGCATACCATCGACATTAGCTCCACATACCATAGTTGGATAATTCCTGGTTTAGATGATGTAAATGAAGCCTGGAAAGTTTTTACTGGTTGATGGAAATAGCTGAAAAAGAGTCATACCTCAAATTTAAGCCAAAATCCAATTCCTGATTGAGTTGGGGAATTAAATTATTAATAAGTTAAAATTTCCAAACTTCTAGAAATATAGTAAGGAGGAAGGAGAAGAGATACTATAGTGTATCTGAACAACTTATTTAAAGTTGAGAGTAACTTTACCTAAAATTTTATTTTGTTGAAACAATATTTTAGACACCACTTACCGATGTATAGCTTACTGTAAAATTTGTAATAAGATTAGACATACACACTCGTATACAGTACGAGTTGGAACAACTTGTGTCTACTGTGATATATTATTATTGTAACATTATAATCTCAACGTTTTCTGATTATATTTTTTTTTACACTGAATTTGATTGCAATTGCTTATTTACATTTTCTTTCATAACAAAGTGAAGTGTTGAAATTTCAGATGTGCTTTTTCTTTGTTTTTACAGGAAAACTTTAGTGTAGACCAATTTGTAAGTGAGCATAGAAAACATGTTTCATTGGAAACTCTTCGGGATGATTTGGGCATCTACCTGAGAGTTCTTCGCTCAGCAATGATTGAACTGATTAATAAAGACTATGCAGACTTTGTAAACCTATCAACAAACTTGGTACAATTTTATTAACATATTACATTTAAGTTTCTCAGATAAAGTGGTAAATTGTTTTTCAATATAAAAAGTTTTTAATGATTGATTAGACCTATTACAGATTTCCATCCTACAATTTCTGTGTATCGTATAACACAGTAGTCAAATTAAAGTGTTCCAAATAGACATTTCATTCTCATTGTTAAAAGTCTATACAATCAACTATAGTCTAATTATTAATCAGTACTTCGAAAAATTAACTACTAATTAATAATTAGATTTGGTGATCATGTAGGTTACTAACATTGACAACAAATGAGATCAGATTGCCACAACCTTTATGTAAGTACCTAGTGAGTTATTTCTTTTACATTTGAATTCAATTGAGTAATTTATAGGATATTTATTATCAAAATATAGTAGATTGAGAAGAAGGTAAAAAAAAATTGTGCTATGAATATTTTTAATATTCAAAACCAAATTTGAGAAATGTATCAGTAAAAATAATTTTGTTTGCAATATGTACATATATATGTGACTTATTTATGAACAACCGACCAAAAGTATAGTGTTATACATTCAAGACAGATAAAACTATAGTACAAAGTGTTGTGTGTTTGTGATAAAATGTTGGTTAGTAAGAGAGATACCTGAAGAAGCAAAACCCAGATACTAGTGGAGATATCTATTGGATTTAATCTCTATTTGCAAATCTCATACGTGTAATGAAATTATAATTGAAAAATAAGTATCAGATACCAGTGCCTACAACATTCTACATATAAAACTGTCATTTATCATTTGCAGCCAATTGTGGAAGAATAGTTGATATTTATGGTTTTATACCAGTTTGAGTTAAAAACAATAAAGCCTCAAATTACTAGATCATTTGTAATACTAATTATAAAAAGAAAATTATAATTTAATCTCCTAATTTCAGTATTGCATTCAATAAGTGAATGGAGGATGAGGTTCCTCTCCTTTATCTTTAAATTTTAAAATTAAAACAACTTTATAAATGTTTAAATATTTATGTTTTGCTTTTTAGGTTGGACTTGATAAATCTATTCAGAATCTAACAGTACCACTTGGCCAGTTTAAAGAAGAAGTTTTAGTAAGTGTAATCATTTTTATGTATTGATGAATGTAAAAGTACTGTAAGATTGCTAAAATGTGGTTTAATTTAACTTGAGACTCTGAAAGAACTTTTTCCACTTCTAAAGTTTACCAAAGTAAAACATTTTTAAAAGTTTTACACTGACCTGATTATCAATAAGACTTGACCAGATTCTTTGGAACTTACTCAACAGTTCAGGAATGAGTAAAGCTGTCAAGAGTAAATAACTCATGTGATGATATTTCTTTTGCAAAAAAACAAACAACAAAACATAAGTTAAAATATTGCATTTAAAAAAAGATTGACTTGTTTCTTCACCTGTTTTCAACAAGAATACTTTTCTACATCTATCCAAACAAATATGCCTTATAATGACAATCTCATTCATTCACAATAATGAAAACGTTAATAATACCATTGTGAAATATTTGTGAAGAACAAGTTTATTAAAGTGTGTTTAATAATGTTTGCTTTTATAATCATACAAAAGATGCAAGTTGTACTTGTTTACACTGCAGTTTTTAAAAATGTGTAAGGAAGTATTAAGTATGACTTACTGTTCTTACATGAGAAGTAACAAGTTCTTACAGTGTGGCAGGAAAGTACATGTAACTATTAATTTATTTTTTGGTTTTAGCTGTATAGTACATTGTTCTAGACTAAAAACTGCAATAATTATATGCTTTTAATTTATCACTAATAATGTGATATGATAAAACAAAAACAAAATTCAATTCCTGTTCCATAGTATTGATATCATTATAATAAATTGTTTAAATATATTGGATTGGACATCTGTTGTTGGAGTATTATTGCACCATGTTTGTTAGAATTTGTAAAATATGAACAATTCATATGAGAGAGAGAGAGAGTAACAAAGTAACATTATTCTGCAGGAGGCCCCCCTTTTCCTCTCTTTTGCTCAAACCCCACACATCACCTTTCACCCAGGGGTGTCATCTCTTCATACACATATAGGATTTGTCCAGTCCATTGCCTGCAGCACCAGACTCCAATAATATAGCCTTCTTCTTATCCAATTTTTGTTGTCTTTCAACTTTGTCTGTCTACCAATGGAAGTGGTGACATGATCTATTCATCACTCCTCTCTCAGGACTATTCTACCATGACCCACCTTTTGGATTTTTTCCCTTAGTTGTTTGATCTTGGATTGTTGGTTCCCGCCGTAGTTGGTTATCAGACAGCTTTGTCAACTACATTTCACCTTTCCTGTTACTGCCAGGTGTTTTCTTCTCTTGTCTTTTCCACTTGATTTGGATCCATCTTTCTTTACCAACCCTCTTGTCTGACTGGGACTTTAATGTGGTTTTAAAAGCTCTTGTGTGTGTTCTGTTTGAGCCATTGGCTTTCTGTTCTTCGTGTCATTTTTCTCTGAAGACATACTTTGTCCTCCTTCTCACCTGTAGTCTCTGTATTTTAGATATACATGTCATAAATTCTTCCAGCACTGTCTTTCATTATACATATTTACTTCTCTACCCAGACTGGGCTTTTCTTCCGAAGTCTTCAGCTGCTTACAAAGGTGATCAGTCTTTCCTATCTCCCTCCTTTCTACTTCTCACCTCTATGCTCGTTTGGAACTGGATCATCTTGTGTGTCTGGTTCAGGTTGTGCTTGCCAGCTTTTCAAAATAGTTTCACAATCACCCATGGCACTGTTTCCAGTGAAAAAACCTTTCCAGCAGGCATTTGGTGGAAATCCAGGTGAATTATTTTCACTTGTTCAAGTGGAGCACAGGAGACTAACCCTTGCGGAGAGTATACCCTGGTTGAGACATGATGAATTCTCCTATAGGTGTGCCCCCTGCCTGTCACACTCCCTGGGCTTGCTTTTGGGTGCTTTCTGAAGGGAGCTCTTCAAAGTTTAATGCTTGCACTGGCCCCCTCTGTGATTTCAATATGGGATTATAGCTATTCTGTTTGAAGAGCTGAGGTATCATCTCGGAAGTTAATATTTTCTTTACCTGAAAATTTATTTCCAATAGATACCTTCACACACACACTCCCACCCCATCCTCCCCACTTCCAGTTCACTTTCTTCTTGCCTCATCTAAGAATGAAGTTATTTCAAGTGCAAGTGCTTACAGGGAGTTACTGTGCAAGGAGTTTGTCACCTTCCTATTGGTGAAGGGCTATCATTGCATAACAATGTCAATATGCACTAGCAAAGTTCAAGTTAAATGTAATTTTTAGGTGGAAGTTAGCTCAAGGCTAGTAGCATGCAAGTCTCTTAAGCAGATGCACTAGAAATCAATCTACTCTGTGTGAAAAGATGAGTATATATTGGAAATATGTTTTCTAGTAACGAAAATGTTAATGTTCATGCACTTATGTAGTATATCCACTTCCTGCCAACCAGGTAAATTTGCCAAACTGTCAGGACTGGGGTATCTGTTTCTTTAAAACCTCTCATTATGAATTCAGCTTATAGTGTAACTGACACAAATTATTCTGTAAATAGTGTACGTATTATTTAAGTAATAAATTGTTGTGCCACTTATTTTTTGCATGTTTCAAAAAATGGCATGCCAGTTGTTTCATAAATCATTTTGATTTTACTTTGCATCTGCAGATATGTATTTAAAATTAATTTTGAAAGACATTCAAATCTTCTTGACATAATTTTGGACCTCGTTGATTTTTTGTGGTCAAGTCTAAACTGATCTATTAATAACTGATTGATCATATCTGTACTAGAAAGGTAAGGTATTTTACTGTTAGATTTTAGTGTCAATTTAAATCAAATTTTAGATCTACCAATATGTAAATTTGTAATAAATGTTTAGGTTGTTTGTAGAGTTTTATTACTTGAGATTAGAATTTATGCTTAGGTGTGGCATGATAATTCAGTTTATGAATGCTGATTTTCTTATGTGTCGTAGACTATAAAACATGCTGTGGATGAAGCTTTGTCTGCAACTACTTCAGAACTGAAAAAGATAGAGAGTATACGTGAAAAAAAGGTTTGTGTATTGTTCTTCTAACTAATATAGTAGCAAAAAAAATCATATTACAGACAAACTTGATCAGTTATTGAATAAAATGTAGCTTGGTGTGCATTTTCTGTGTCTAAGCACAGAATTGAAGAAAGAAAAGTGTTGAAAAAATATGTTTAGGTTAAAGTTTTTGATCAGGAACTAAAATTGTTGGACTTCATAATCTGACACTTTTTCGTTTTCTGTTTGGGCCAGTATTTATTAAGAAGAATTACTGAGTGAAAGTAGAGTGTATAATAATATTTCAACCATGCTATATCTATCATATACAGTGCCAATGAAACCTTCCCCTAATACCAGGGTTTTCAGGCTGGGTGGGATATGACAGATATTGTAATGGTTGAGATATTATTTCTATTAGCAAATTATTTGACAACGACTGTTATGGTGTGAATTTGATTAAGTTGGGGAAGTGTAATTTTCATCAATTTTATTTAGATCAAAAACTTTAATCTCAGCTTATAACATTGACTTTGGATTTAGAATCTTATACCACTTGCAGTTAAAAATACATATGCAACTGGTTATGCAAGGCTTGAAATAACCCATTTTTGATTAATTGTCTAAGTAACAGATTGTAAGATTAAATATGGAAATTGATTAATCAAAGATACAATGACGCGACTCACGTTTATATAAATGAGTACAAAGAGTTCATGTGGTCGGGCAAATTGACTTAGCCCATGTTAAGAAAGTTAATGATATTTTACTATAATATATACTAAACTTTAGTATTTGTTTTTAGTCAATCAAGGCTATTAGTATTGGGCAGTACTTGTAATATGAAAACTAAATGTTTTCCTGTATGTGACATATGAACACCTAAACATGATACAACCTTACAGGTAGGGGAATAATGAATCTTATGCTATTTATATCCTAAGAAGAAAAGTATTGTAAGAAATGTCATTTTCAAAGGAACTTAATTTTGCTCAAGAAAATGTAAACAATTATAATATAGATATTACTATGTGAATGGTCTTCAAAACATCAAGTTAACATACAATAGCAAAATAGGAATAAGACATAAATATTAAACATCAATAACATTAGAATAAAATGTGTGATCATAGAGCTGAAGTACAATGGGATAATCATGTGATGTAATGTTACATTGTGAGATTGTTTAATTATTGTTTATTTTACTATGCTAATAACTCTTCCATTAGAACATTTGTTAATACTTTTTAACTTTTGAATAAAGATATTTATTTACTTATTGTGATTTAGTAGATACAAAGTAGGTCAGAAGTTCTACAAGGTGAAAGAAACTACAAATAAAAGTTTGTGCTAGAAGTATGGGCATCTTCTTTAAATGGGGTAATGTTCAAAACACTTCGTTAATTTCACTCAGCATTTTGTTTCTTTAGCATTAAAATATAAATCTTTTCAAACCACTTGAAATATGATCTGTAAATGTGTGTGTGTGAAATTCCAAAATATAAATTCACTTTTCATACTTACATGTCATAAGCTGTTTACATCCATGATAAACCATTGTGACTTGAAGTAATAACTTGCAGTCTCAAAATATCTTAAAGTTTGGTGTTTGGTTCTATAATGTATATAATATAATATAGTTAATTTACACTGATAAATTAGGGATGGCTTGTGCAGATCACCCTCGTGTTGCTTTGGACAAAAAAACAACAAACGAACAAACAATTTCACATACATGCTGTCACAAAGCTGTTTTCCAGCAATCAATTTGACAGATAATTTGTAATTCAAACTTTTAGAACAAAATATTTAAATAAAAAGTTGTTTGTCATGTGTTTCAATATGTGATTTTAGTTGTTAGTGATTATGGTGTTGCAAATGGACAAAAATGTATTTAATCAAGGTCTGTATTGGTTTAAGAGAATCAGAAATAAATATTTTTCAAAAAATATAGTTGGAAAAATATCGCCTACATTGGTGTAGGCTGAGGATATGAGTGCAAGTTGTGTGTCTTGTTTCAACTGGTTAACACTTAATGTTCATTAGTGTTTTATGCTATTTTCACAGCTACATAACTGCTTAATTAAGTAAAGATATTCAATACATATAAATAATTGATGAAAATAAAACAAGTTAGATTGAACTGGATATATATAAAATGGATTTTTCTAATCAGTAATATTTTTTAAAAACTCTGGTTTTATTTCTGTCTTTTATATTTTTAATAGTTTCTTTATATGAAAGAGCTTGCATGAAGAGAGGAGAAAATTAATATTCATTTATTAGAACAATATAGACACAACAAATGTAGTGTTTATGGAAAAATATAACTGTTGGATACATTTACATGATTTTGGACACACATTAAAACAAAACAGAACTTTAAGATAAAAGTGTATAATTTCAGGTCAACCAACAATGTATGCAATTAGTTGCCAGCCCAAACTAAATCATTATTTAAACTTGGTGTTTCCATTAAAAAAGTTCCACGAAGTTGAACTTCTTTTCAATATTCAACAGTTATTTTGTTATCACCGAAATATTTTATTTCTGTATGTAATACTTGCTTGATTAACATTACTGCTCCTAGGGACAGTTGAAAGACATACTACAGCTCCTTAAGTTTTTTAATATTTATTAGTTGATATTAATTCAAACTGTGCAACTTATTGGGTAGGTTTGCTAAAGACAAGAAAGTATTTGCCACAAAGATGTAAAGTTTTTGTTGATGGACTGAACTAAGAATATACGAAAATATGAAAGATCCAATATACAAATGTCATTGATTTTCTCCACATAATCAGCATTGTTTCAGTTTTGACTTGAAAAATAAGTTATACTTGAATATTGCTTATATAAAAATTTATCCACACTTTGTTTTCTTCACAGATGATGCTTCAAAGGGTAGCAGCCATACTTCATGGGTTTCAGAAATTAGAAGAGTTGTTGGAAATTTCTAGCTGTAGTCCTGAGTTACCAGCAAAAGAGAAAGGAAGAAGGTAAGTGGTAGTATATTTGAGTATGGTGTCAATAAAGAACATGCACGCTACAAGTTTTTCTTCTCTAATAATTGGTACTCTATTTGTGCCAATAAACCTTTTTTTAAAACCAATTTGTTATAAAAAGTGAAAAATTGAAGTACTTTTTAAATAATGTTTTCTTCTAGAAAACATGTTTACATAAATATTTTTAAGTGCCTTGTTTAAGGAGGAGAGTGAGTGTAAGATCTCTTAGACAGTTTCCTTCAAATCTTGTTGAAGTTCTCTTATATTAACTTTTATTTGATATTAGCTTATCTGAACACTTTCTTTCTTCAAGATTAAGCTAAGTTAGTACTGTCATTTTAAATTTAGTTGTAGATATAGAATTAAGCCTAATTTCAGCTATACTTTATTATTTATGCAAATTGTGACTTATTTTTTACCTTTAGGGTAATTATTTCTAAGTTATTGTGTAAGTTATTGAAGGCAGGTTATTGATTTGGTTTTATTTGTGGGTATTGTTAAAGTAGATTATTTTGTTTTTGTTTTTTGTTTCTGCTACCTTTTAAGTTTTTGTGGTGTGATAAGTAAAATTTGGAAATTATTTTTGAAAATATTAGGTCAAACTGTAGTTTTTCAAGCAACTTATAGGGACTTGTTAAGGGTTTGTTTGTAGAGTTTTCTTTTGGGAGTAAAAGTGTCAGTATGATTTGAGGAGTGAAAAAAAACAAGTCAGGCGTTAAAGATGGAAAATAAAAACATATCAAAATAAGATTTTTTGTGTGTTTCAAGAGGAATAATACACTTACATTATTTAAGTGTGCAATGAAAGAAAGTAAGTCAGATTCTGACTTCATGAATTAAAAGAAGAAAATAATCCCAATGTGTTTATGTTGGGGGAGGAGTATTCTAATTAAGAATGATGAAAGGTACATGTGTCTTGGACTGAAATTTACTTACCAGCTAGTAATGTTTAGGATATGGCAGGAAATGTGTAGGTACTATTTTTATTTTGCATCTTCGAGCTATTGATGTTAGTATTGACAAATCTGATGACATAGTTTGTACATATACTAAAAGTCTTAAAAGAGCATGCTGTCTGTCTGTATCTTCTTTCTGCACACTAACTAGAGTTTTGACAGCAGATTATATTCCAACTTCACAGATCACTTTCTTTGGTGATGGGAGACCCATTGGTTTTAAGGTTCAGAGATTAACAGTTTTAAAACAATTTGCTTCTGCAAAGAAGAAACTGGAACCACAAGATGCACAGAAACAAGCCAGAACACAAAAAAAGCTAATGATAATAAAAATCAACCATTCTTCTGATGACTATTTGTATTTATATCATTGATTTGGGAAGCTCTTTGGACAATAATATTTGCAATTTCTCTTATGAAACTGAGATCTAGAAAGAGTGGATTTTAATGATGGTGATTCTTTTCTTCAAAAATACCTTGTGACAGCCTTGATGCTAGAAAATGAAAAAATAGTTTTGGTACTGAGAATGTAAAAGTTATGTACTTGAAGGAAGAAAATCTGGAAATGACTTATTTTCTCTACAAGAAAAAATAACTTGTTTTCTTTGGAGTACAAAAGAATAAGGGGGTCACTTGATTGATGAGTTCAAAACTAGTTAAGGGTTTCAACCATGGGTGTCAGCAGAATGGGTGCATTCCCCCATGTAATTTCAGAAGAAAATTTATTTGAATAACTATTTAAAATTGTATAACAAAATAATACTATTTAAATGTAAATGAAAAAATTAGGTGTACATAGATAAGGCATAATCAGCCAGAGCAACGCATTCAAACTTCAAGGCAGTGGCCTGCACTCTGCAATAGATGCCATGTTTGCAGATTTTGGGCTTCCCTCCATCTGGAATAAGTTCTGCAGACAGCCATGGTTTCAACCCTTGTCTTATGATTACTCTGCTTGAGTGACTAAATAGAAAGACCTAACTTATGAATTTAAATGTTAATACTAATTGGTTTAAGTTATAAGATAAAAACTTGTTGCTTTTTAAAAAACAAAAAATGTGATTACAGTATAAACTTATGGAATTATTTTCCTGATGTTTATTTGGTAGGATGTGAATATATAGGGCTGCATTTAATTCAAATTTGTATGAGTCTTTTTGTAGGTGAGGGACTGGATAGCATATTGTTTTGCTCTCTATTATATTCTTAAGAAGAGGTCTATATTTTTTAAAGATTTTTCTTTTCATGTACAGGAGTTAATATGTATTTTGAAGAAGATAAAAAAATAGTCTGAATTCCAAGTTTCCCGGTTTAAAAACCTTAAGGAAATAAAAATAAATACTTAGTTGAGTTGTTTAAATTAGTGCTTTTATATTGTAATTTTGGACAATAATCAAAATAGAACTTGGGAACTGTAATCCTCAGCAATGATCCAAATAGTACAGTTGTACAACACAAATCCCCAAAGTTCAAAACAGATTTTACATTTTGTAATTTACCAAATTTTTAAATGAAGTAGTTACATGCCATAACTCTGACAGAGCATTCAAATCACAGAACTTGTATATCAGTTAAGATAAAAGTTGTATTTTTTACTCTCAATAATGATTAAAGTAGAACACCTGTATATTGTTACTCTCAATAATGATTAAAGTAGAACACCTGTATATTGTTACTCTCAATAATGATTAAAGTAGAACACCTGTATATTGTTACTCTCAATAATGATTAAAGTAGAACACCTGTATATTGTTACTCTCAATAATGATTAAAGTAGAACACTTGTATATTGTTACTCTCAATAATGATTAAAGTAGAACACGTATGTTGTTACTCTCAATAATTATTAAAGTAGAACACCTGTATGTTGTTACTCTCAATAATAATAAAAGTAAAACAGCTATATATCATTACTTTCAATCATGATAAAAATAAAACAGGTGTATATCATTACTTTCAATCATGATAAAAATAAAACAGGTGCACATTATTACTCTCAATAATGACCAAACCAAAACAAGTTCTACTTTAATCACTGTTGAGAGGTGCAATGTAAAGTTTTGCTGTTGTGAATATTGTTGATTTACAATATACAATTGTTCTACTGTGAATATTGTTAAAAATTACAAAATACAACTGCTTTACTTTGATAGATGTTGAGAATAACAATATACAAATGTTTAATTTCATTGATCATTGTAAAGTACAGTATGATAAGTTTTCTACTTTGAAAATGTCTTCATTTTAATCAAAGTACATATAGGTTTGTGTTAATTTTTGAACTTAGTACTCATAAAAGTATCCTGTTTTACCATTCTTATGAATGTTCTGAACTCATTAGTACAAAACTATCTACAATGTGTATGGTTTGGTTTATTGAACAGAGAATGGTCTGGGAAGTTAGTGGAACGTGCTGCAGTAGAACTTAATCAAATTTTGTTTTACCTCTCAAAGTGCAACAGAATCCCTGTAATTGAAGACATTAGACATGTAAGTTTTCTTATAGTTGTTTATCATTAAAATTTATTTTAGCTGAATGTTAAGTCAGGTTCATAGCTGTAACCACCTCGAACTAAGGGCTTTAATTGCCAATATTAATGTGTAGATTTAAACCAGCTGTATAACAAAGGGAAAAAAGGATGTGTAACTGTCTGCATTTTTATGTATAGGACACTATATCCTGGTAAATTATAATTTTAATTATTTTGTACAATACTTAGAGCAATTCAGAAGATAACTCCTTTTATTAGCTAGTGGTATAGCTTACTTTATTCATTTTTTATTCCTCTTTTGTTATGGTTGTGAGTACTAGTTCTCGAATCATCTAACAGTTTTTTAAAAAAACATGGTATTTTATATATATATTAATAAATGCAAGTTTTTATAGATATATAAAACTTTATACTAAAATTAAAAATATTATTAATTAACATCAGAGTTGTATTATCCATTTCTTAGTGAATGTATTCCCCTTTCTGTTTGTATTTTTGGATATTTCTCAAGAAAATACACCAGTAAAAGCAGTTACTTTATATAATTTTTGTAAATATAATTAATAGTTTCTAAAAACATTTTTCATACCACACAATTTTATAGTACATCTTCACATTTTTTCTGAGGTTAATCTGTTTAGTATTTATCAATTTTTATTTATTATAACATTTCTTTAATCCTTTCAGTACTTGTTGCTGTTAAAGCCAATTTATGGGATGTTTAAGCTAGTATTGGTTTGAAAGATATCATATATAGCAGCTTTTGAAATTATCTAAAACTAAATGTTATATATAAATGTTAATTGTTAATATTTTTTACTCATCTTCATATGACAAGAGGATTAATCATATTGCTACAGTCCTCATGGAACATCTAGACCACAAGTTTCTTGATGATATTCACAAAAGTAACACGGAATCCCTCCAGAGAATTCTTCGTATTTATGCAACCATTGACAGAATATCTGAAACTGAACTATTATTCCAAAGAAATGTAGTCAAGCCTTATATGCAAGAGGTATTTATTCTGAAGTTCCATTAATTTTTTTTGTATTTATTTTTCATCAAAATATTACTCATTTGAAATAAGCATTCAGTTATTGACTAACAACTGAAAAAGACCTACCAGTTTGTAAGGTGTAATTCTACATGTAGATGATAATCGTAAATCATATGTTTTTTTATTAATTCAATCTTGTTTTATTTACATAGGTGATCACAGAAAAGCAAGTTGAAATTCAGGGCATAACCAAAATGTATGAGAAAGTATTACAGTTTGTTCCGTCAAAGTGTAAAGATATATTAGAAGTCACCAGGGAAGGTAGAAGGTAGGAAAGGATTTCTCACTCAATGCTTATAAATTCCATAAAGATTTAAGAAAATCCTTATGCAACCTGGACCACAATTATGCACGAAGATAGTTGTAAGTTAAAAAGAAATCACATTACAAGATCAGCAGCACACTAACAATCAATCATTTGACGTGTCTCATGAAAAATGAGCTTCTGTTAATATCATATGAATAATTACATTTCATGTGTTATTTAAATCAATGGACAGTGCTTCAAGTGTGAACAGTTCTATTTAAAAAATAAACAAATTCTTGAGTGACAGTTCCATGTTAAAGTAAACTTCACAAAGACAACAGGTTTTCATATTTTGCTATTACATGTCTAACATGTAACTTCTGTTTTCAAGGACTTCATATAATTTTGTTGAAAAATATTTAGATTGCTATAATGGTCTTATTTATAAACAGAATCAACTGACCCAAACCCTAACAAGTCAAAATGCAAGACAATATTTATGTAAAGAATAAAAATACTTTTGTCCATTGTACAGTTTGTTTATTGCAGTTGCATAACTTCTAGAACCTCCTTAATACATCTCTAAAGTTTTTTGAGTATCCCTGAATATTGTATTTGGTATTTTCTCTATTCTATGAAATGTTGAGAACTATAACATAAAATACATAATACCATGTTGAACAGAACTCTGTAAAATGTCAGAACATGCACACTTTGACCCCCACACACGCACATATAGTTAAATACTGAAGTTTCATTTCTTTAACTACAAATGGAAAGAGCTAGTTCTCAAATTTGAATTTTATAAAATGGAATAAGAATGTGCTTCTTTACAATTGCAAAAGTTCCATTAAAAGTTTTTTTTTTTTATTCTATAGTGGAGAAGTAGTGAAGGGTTATGATTTTCTTGTTAATGCCATCTGGCCTGAGATCATAACCTGTTTAGAAACCAGAGTCCACTTTATATTCCAAGCTGGTGATCCAAACAAGTTCCATGAGCGATACTCTTCAAGTATGACTTTTCTAGAAAAGTTTGAACAAATGTGTGGTTCACAAGCAAGCATTAAGAGACTACATCAGCACAAGTCTTATCACACTTTCATTGGAAAGTGGAATCTTCCTGTATATTTCCAGGTTAGGTGAGTGTTTAAGAGGGGAGGGGGATAATGGATAGAATGTTATCTACCAAGCATTAAAATTGTATTTGTTATAAGAATGTGTGAAAAAATATTGTTGTTTTAGTCTAATCATGTGTGTTTTTAGCTTAGATAATCAATCACAAAGGAAAATTATTGCGCACACTACTTTATAAAGTTGCCTATATTCTTTAAGGGTCATAACTTCAATAGGAAAGGATAGTAAATATATTATGCCCCACATTGACATTTGTTTAACAATGAATCTCTGAGCCAACAAAATCATTTGTGTAGTCGTTGGTAACAAAATAAGGTGCATGAGATCTGGAATTTCAGAAAAATTAGAATAGAATATAAGGACCTGAAGGACTTGATCTGAGGAGTCTTTTGCTGTTTTTTTTTTTCTATGGATAAAATGCAGAGACATGTAGGACTTGATCTGAGGGGTCTTTTGCTGTTTTTTTTTTTCTATGGATAAAATGCAGAGACATGTAGGACTTGATCTGAGGGGTCTTTTGCTGTTTTTTTTTTTCTATGGATAAAATGCAGAGACATGTAGGACTTGATCTGAGGAGTCTTTTGCTGTTTTTCTTTTTTCTTCTATGGATAAAGTGCAGAGACCTGTAGGACTTGATCTGAGGAGTCTTTTGCTGTTTTTTTTTTTTCTATTGGATAAAATGCAGAGACATGTAGGACTTGATCTGAGGAGTCTTTTGCTGTGTTTTTTTCTTCTGTGGATAAAGTGCAGAGACCTGTAGGACTTGATCTCAGGAGTCTTTTGCTGTGACTTTTTTCTATGAATAAAGTGCTTGTAGTGGTTTTCTGTCATCCAAAAGTTAACCACTCTCACTGCTATGTTCATGATTGTCCACATCTTCCAACAATTCTGGAGCATATCTGGTTTGTTGGTAGACATGGTTACTTTTGGTTGTTTAGTATTTTAATTAACACAAATGGAAATTCTTCTCTGGCCTCTTTTATGGCTTATTTTATCTACAACTGGTATCCTGTCATGATCCATTCACATCTGCTGCTGTGGGAGAACATTGAGCATTTTGCCACCATACACTTTTTAAGTAAAATTTTAATTTGATACTTCCAACCCTGTGTCCTCTGAGATGTATGCAATCATGACAGAAAATCTGCCTGATTGTCCTTGTTTTTTCCAATGATTACTGGCTCTTAAAAAATCTCTATAGATATTACATTGCCATAACATCATGACTCCTGAAAAGTTTAGCAAACAATTTCTCCATCAACCAAACAAGAAAAATCATTGCATCTCTTCCACTTCTTTTCAGTTTTTGTTTTGGTAAACACTATTAAATTCCTCATACGATATAGTGTGTATTCCATAAAATTTGTAACAAAGTTGAGGAAAACTGGAAGTGGAATACCATACATGGTTTGGTTGACTCAGAGATTCTTTATGATGCAAGTTTTCACCTATTATACTGTAGCAGGCATTAGATTAAACCCAAGGTTATTCAGTAACTTTTGAGTAATACCTATTTAATGTCCAGTTATCGAATATTCTGTATAAGAATTTGTTTGTTGCTTATGTTTTC